CAAAAACAGACACATAGATCAATGGAACAGAACAGAGAATCCAGAAGTGGATCTTCAACTTTATGGTCAACTAATATACGATAAAGGAGGAAAGACGATCCACTGGAAGAAAGACAGTCTCTTCAATAAATGGTGCTGGGAAAATCGGACATCCACATGCAGAAGAATGAAACTAGACCACTCTCTTGCACCATACACAAAGATAAACTCAAAATGGATGAAAGATCTAAATGTGAGACAAGATTCCATCAAAATCCTAGAGGAGAACTCAGGCAACACCCTTTTTGAACTCAGCCACAGTAACTTCTTGCAAGATACATCCACGAAGGCCAAAGAAACAAAAGCAAAAATGAACTATTGGGACTTCATCAAGATAAGAAGCTTTTGCACAGCAAAGGATACAGTCAACAAAACTAAAAGACAACCTACAGAATGGGAGAAGATATTTGCAAATGACGTCTCAGATAAAGGGCTAGTTTCCAAGATCTATAAAGAATTTATTAAACTCAACACCAAAGAAACAAACAATCCAATCATGAAATGGGCAAAAGACATGAAGAGAAACCTCACAGAGGAAGACATAGACATGGCCAACATGCACATGAGAAAATGCTCTGCATCACTGGCCATCAGGGTAATACAAATCAAAACCACAATGAGATACCACCTCACACCAGTGAGAATGGGGAATATTTACAAGGCAGGAAACCATAAATGTTGGAGAGGATGTGGAGAAAAGGGAACCCTCTTACACTGTTGGTGGGAATGTGAACTGGTGCAGCCACTCTGGAAACTGTGTGGAGGTTCCTGAAAGAGTTAAAAATAGAACTGCCCTACGACCCAGCAATTGCACTGTTGGGGATTTACCCCAAAGATACAGATGCAATGAAACTCCGGGACACCTGCACCCCGATGTTTCTAGCAGCCATGTCCACAATAGCCACACTGTGGAAGGAGCCTCGGTGTCCATCGAAAGACGAATGGATAAAGAAGATGTGGTTTATGTATACAATGGAATATTACTCAGCCATTAGAAACGACAAATACCCACCATTTGCTTCAACGTGGATGGAACTGGAGGGTATTATGCTGAGTGAAGTAAGTCAATCGGAGAAGGACAAACATTGTATGTTCTCATTCATTTGGGGAATATGAATAATAGTGAAAGGGAATAGAAGGGAAGGTAGAAGAAATGGGTAGGGTATATCAGAAAGGGAAACAGAACATAAAGACTCCTAACTCTGGGAAATGAACTAGGGGTGGTGGAAGGGGCGGAGGGCGGGGGGTGGGGGTGAATGGGTGACGGGCACTGAGGGGGGCACTTGACGGGATGAGCACTGGGTGTTATTCTGTATGTTGGCAAATTGAACAACAATAGAAAATTAATTTGTTATTATTAAAAAAATAAAATTTTTCATAAATGAAACATGACATTAAATAAATTTCAAAAGTTACAAAATAAAAAATAAAAAATAAATAAAAAGAAAAATTTGTGGAGAAACACTGGGCTACAGCTTCCAAAATTAAATCAATGTAATGGCATTATTCTGGTAATTCATACCTACCTTACAATTATAAGTTGTTTTCTATATTCTATTATTAAAGCAGAGGGCCTTTACCAGTAAAGATTTTCCAAATTATATATAGTTATGGATTTGTTTATATTATCAAGTCTTTTAAATATTTTCTCTAATATTTCTCTATAGAAATTACTTGTTTTGAGTTGGTTGTTAAAAATATTAATATCATATTTGTTAAAACTCTATCTTCTATGCTCCTTAGATGTTCAACTGTGACCTATAAGTCCTCTCCTGTTTGTTTTTTTATACTCTCCCTGGCAATTGCCTTGTGCAACCCAACTTGCTGAGAACTTCAGATTGTCTCTTCCATTAGTACACTGACATTCTATTTCCAACCTATTGAGCATCATAGTTTAGCACAGTCTATCTTAAAAGGGTTCCAATTACATTAGCCTACAGTTGGGCAAAATCATTTAACACAAAGCCTATTTTATAATAAAGTGTGGAATATCTCATAATTTATGGAATACTGTGTTGAAAGTCAAAAGCAAGGATGAGAACTGGATGTTATATTGTATGTTGGCAAATTGAACTTAAATAAAAAAAAAGAAAGTGAAAGCAGAATGGTTGCATAGGTACAGGATGGTTGTGTGGATTGTTGACCCTTTTGATTGTGTGGCTGATAGGGAGCTGCGGTTGCTGCTGCTCAGCATTATGAGATAGGACTATATTGCACGTTTGCTACTCAGGGATTGCTGGCTATTGCTATTGCCATTGTATTTGCAATTGCTATTGTATTGCTATTGCACCATTATAAAGTCCAAAAATTTTAAGTTGAACCATTCTAAGTAGGGCGCCATCTGTATAGGTCAAAGGCAATTTGGAGTGACTTAAAAAATACTTATTTAGGAATGCCTGGGTGGTTCAGTGGTTGAGCCTTTGGCTCAGGTTGTGGTCCCAGAGTCCTGGGATGGACTCCTGCATCAGGCTCCCCACAGGGAGCCTGCTTCTTTCTCTGCCTCTCTCATGAATAAATAGATAAAATCTTTAAAAAACCCCAAAACTTAATTTATTCTTGCTAAGACTTTTTTTTAAAAAAATATTTTATTTATTTATTTGAGGGAGAGAATGCAAGTGGGGAAAGGCAGAAGGAGAGGGAAAAAGAATCTGAAGCCAACTCCACATTGAATGCAGAACCTGACATGGGGCTCAATCCTACCACTGGGAGAATATGACCTGAGCAAAAACCAAGAATCCGATGCTTAACCAACCTAGCCACTCAGTTGCCCCTTGTAAAGTTTAAGGAATTGAGTGGAAGGTCCTTTGCTTGGTATGCTCTTCCATATTAACTTTCTCTACTGCACTACCTGAGATTAAATTAATGATGTTACAATAGCAAACGGAAGGGGCCAGTACACTTTAGTCATTGGGAAATACCCTCTCAGGGCTCTTCCTTGGGTATAAACTGTATGCTGAATCATCTTACTCTGTTGCTCTAAATCTTTCAGTGGCTTTCTATCCAGTAGATCTGAACCTATAAAGTCCATAAATGGTCTGCAATTCCCCATTCAGTTTGGCTTCCAATGACCTCTTTAACTTCACCTGGGGCAGCTCTCCTTGCACACATGCTGACAGTTCACACTAACCAGCATGCTGCTCCTACAGTGGGATGGGCAAATTCTCATCCCCTAAAAGACTCTTCTGCCCAGATACCATGACTTTGTCCCACAGTTCTTTCAGGTCTTGATTTACATGTCATCTTGCCATCACCTTCTGTGAATATTCCATTTGATGTCCTCCCCCAAAGTTATTCTACATCTACTTTTTATTTTTCTCAATTGCACTTAATATCACGTGATCTTTTTAAATATACTTAGTTCTTTGTTTATCTGTATGTGTCTATAGTAGTATAATATAAACGCAATAAAGGAAAAGATTTTTTCTCTACTTTGCTCACTTCTGTAGTCTCAGCACCAGTCATATGCCTGGCACATAGAAGGTGTTTATTTTTGAATGAATGAATGACCTTGAGGCATTTTGCCAACACAACACCATAATTACTCTTCTTGGGGACCAAACCGTTGGCTGTAACAAAATAGGTCACGGCTCACATCTCTGTCTGGTTTTGATGACTTCTTTTGGGCACTCACTATTTTATAGTTACCACAGCCTGAAAAGTTTAGCTAAGAAGCTCAGAAGTGGTTTCACAATAACCGTAATATCAGGTCAGTGCTTTTTAATGACATATTTTGTTGATTTTATTCTATTTTTTTTCAGGTCCATGTTCAGGATGGTATTTTGTAGAATAAAAAAAATAATCAGACTAGATACATATTCTGGACCCATTGATTTGGGGTCATAGAGAGTAACTTTTGAGGAAAATCTCCCTTTTTCTGGCATCCCCTTTCAACATGATCTTACTTTCTCTCTACTTTTGCTAGATCTGAATAGGGTACAAGAAGTCTTGCTCTTTCCTATAAAAAAATTAACTGTGTCTAAACCAACCCCCAAGTGTAGTTATCAAAATCCTCCAACTCACCTTAATTCCCCTATGAAGAGTATGGTGAAACTTGTTTGGTAAACTTAGACTTGTTCCCCCCATTTGGAACATTGATAATTTAATAGTTTCAAACCTATACTAGATCATCCTAAAAGGATATAGCCCACAGGCCGAGCACAATATGAAACGAATATCAGGTTAGATAAAAATTCCAATATTACATTTGGTTAGATTTCAGAAAGTCATGATAATTTCATACATATTTTCTGCCTAGTTTCTGGCTTTTTTTCACCCAGGTCCAGGCCATAGCATCCCTCATTTATTACTTCACAATACATTTTCATATATATATTTTTTCACTAACTCAGACAAGTGCTAATTTCAATAAGTGCCGAATAGGTTCATCAATGATATTCTCCAAAGTCTCATGGCTTATCTCCTTCTAAATTGTGATACTTTTCAAATATCAAGTTTCAAAGTTAGAAATTATTGCATAGTAATTATATTGAAGTCTTTGATCTTGGATATGATTTTCTTTCAGATTTTTTTCCCCTGTCTCTTTGGAGAATGAAGGAAGCTAGTCATTTAAGTTTATATTTTGTATTGTGAAAAATACTATGGAAGTGAATTAGCTGGAACTTAATCTTAGTATTTTGAGAAGGGATTTGGAATTAGGTAGGTTGCCATTAACAGCAAGGTACCAATGTGTCTCTAAAAATATTACTTTGTTCATACATGTAAAATATTTCTCCCTGGTTTTTAACCAAGGCTCAGTAATAGAAGTGATATTCACTTTTTCATCTTGATGAAAAAAGAAATCTACAAGGTGTGTGCTTTTGTTCACAGTTATTGTTACCTCAGACAAACTATGCTGCTCCACCATAACATTCATATAGGACTGCTAGTCAGTATAAATACAAGAGGAAATTCTAACTCTGGAAGATAAACAAATGCCAAAAGGAAAAATTAAAGGTACTTACCTTGAGGAAGAGATGGCGGTGATGAACTCGCAAAGCAAGAACCCCTGGATAAGTTTAAATCAGCATATATCACTTGTCTATCCATTGCAAGCAGGAGAATATGGCACTGAACTTGTGTGCAAGGACAGATTCCAAGTTCTATGAGTCAAGATCAACAAAAGGAAGTGCCCAGGCTGAAATGCTTTGTTGTTTCTTTTGTATGCCCTCCCACCCACACTTTTAGCTGTGGGTTTTCTCCATAAATTAGAGAGATAATCCATTTATTGGGGATCCAATATACTTAGATATGTAATATCTACTTTGCTTAATTAACTGGTCTGTTTGACAAAATTTGGGGGAGATTTTTTGTTGTCCTTCTAACCATCTGTTTTGAATATCTTTCTCAGGGTCAGGACAAGGGTGAAGCAAATGAGACATTCATCTAGGGTGCAAATTTAAGGGAGACTCCAAAAAGACTCCACAGTCAAGAGAAATAATACTCAATGCAATGTTGTAAAAAATAAAGATTTATGCAAAAATTGGCAGGATGCATTTCAAAAGCTCTAAATTCTTCCTGAAATATTTGTGCTCCAAATAAAGTTGCAAAACCTAGAAAATGGTATTTAAATATGGAAATGGCCCCTTAATAAGACAATTGAAAACCATCCATAAAACGATCTTAGCTTAGTTCTAAAGGTGCTTGTGAGTATAGCAGTCTCCACATAAGTAAAAAAAAAATTAGTCTGCCAGAATTATAGAAAGTGGAAGATGTGAGTTTGTGAAATTTCTACTTTTTCAAGGATTTTGATGCAGAGTACCATGGATGCCACCAAGCCTGACATTCCCATTTACAAATGAGAAAGGGATTTCCTCAAAGTTGCTTGCAATAACCAGGACAGAATTGTACCAAATGCTCAAAATTACTGAACAGTGAAAGCAGTCTTCTGGTTTTGATTCTCCAGGAGGCAGGAAGAGTCACTTTATTTGTGCTGTGATATCTGGTTTTGTCACATATTTTACCTAAATTTTTAGAGTAAATATAACCTGCCAGAATTATGGAAGTGTATACTGGGTCACCTATATAGAATAGTCATTCTTGAATTTTAGTTTCTATATATAATAACCACCTGAAAACTTGTTAATAATGTAGAATTTTGTCTCATATACTCTTCCCTTTGTAAAATACAGTTAGTCTGAGGTAGGGGATATGGAAAAAAAATCAGCCCAGGTAACTGAGGTGGTTCATGAACCATACATAAATACTCATGTAGCAAGTAAAAAGTGTGGAGATATTTGAGAAAGATCAATAAAGTGAACAGAAGTCTGATAGGGTATTTAAATAATGCTTTTAGTGCACTAAAGTTTAATATAAAGTTACTCAGCATTGGGGTGCCTGAGTGGCTCAGTCAAGCATCTGCCTTTGGCTCAGGTCAGGATCTCAGAGTCCTGGAGTCATACCCCATGTGGGGCTCCCTGCTCAGTGGAGAGTCTCCTTCTCCTTCTCCCTCTGCCCCCCACATCCACTCATGCTCACTCTCTCTCTCAGCTAAATAAATATTTAAAAAAAAATAAGGTTACGCAGCACAACTGTGAAGATTAAGAATCTACAATGACCATATGAAAAAATAGTTTGAGTGTTTCTTTCAGAGTGTTTCCTTCAAACAGAAGCTTGTAAAAGCCAGCTGCAAAAGTATAAACTGGATTGAAGTAGAAACAAAAAGTGAGTTCTTTACTCGTCCATATGCAATATGCAATATATTGATGGCTCATTTTCTTTGTTCAGCCATCTTCACAATCATCCATCTCAAAAGACCCTTATTGCGCAATCATTATTGTATACATATAAAATAAACACTTTATGAGAATTCAAACCTGGAGAATTTTTTTAGTTATGTTCATCTAATCATCTAGATGGCACTTTTGTAAAAAGTATTTCAGAATTTAGAAATATATTGTTAGATATGTATGTATATATGTATACATGTTATATGTATGTATGTTATATGCATATATATTTGACAGTACATCCCTGACTATGTGTATGTGTGTGTATTTATAAATACACACACACATATATACACATACAGAGATAGGCACACACATAATATATAGAATGTTAAAGCTAAATATTTCAGAGAATGAATGATTACAAGCTCTGAGATTTAGAATGCGTAAGAGTAACAATAATATTGAGTAGCTCAGAAAACAATAAAGATAGATTTTTAAAATTCTATCACCTATTTTGACATTGAACTTTTCTAGGTTAATAGTGGGAGTTAGAGTGGATAGGAAGAGAGAGTAAAATAAAAGCAAATTTATCTTTGAACGTGCAAAAATATAATAGAGGCCAAAAGATGGCTAGGAAATGGAGAAATTAATGATAAGAGAATAATTTGGTGCAAAAAGGTGAAAACACAAGAGACAATAAGTAATCAGGAGACAAGAGAGTCCACTTTAGGCTTATAATATAAAAGAGGCTACAGGCCCACCTCTTCCAATGAATATGGATCAAAATACCTCTGTAAGAGCCCTTGAGACCAGCTGAACAACTGCAGCAACCAGAACCAAGAACACATTCCACCAAAGGAGGTAGGATAATTCCCAGTATTTGGTACAATCATTGGTGTCCTCACCCCTAGAGAGTATACTGTGGAGACATCGGGAGGAAATGCCATGTAATCTCCTTTAGATAGGGGACAGGTGGGGTGGAAGAGTAGACCAAGCACTCAACATTCTGACAATTGTCTGAGGACTACTCACGGAACTGGTTTCTGTCTTGCCTGACTCAGAGTGCTTAGGGGATCAGCTCAAAATTAGAAGCTACTGAAAACTGAGGTGAACAGCAAGCAGAGGTACATTAATGCAGGCAGGCATGGGAGGAAAGGAAATTAAGAAAATTATTCCATTTACAATAGCATCAGAAAGAATAAAATACTTAGGAATAAACCTAATTAAGGCAATGAAAGACTTGTACATTGAAATTTACAAAACTTTACTGAAAGAAATTACATAACACATGAATAAATAGAATGACATCCCATGTTCATGGATTGGAAGACTTAATATTGCTAAAATGTACATACTACGTAATCTTCAGATTAAATGCAATTTGTATCAAAATTATATCAATGACACTTTTTTCCAGAAATATAAAAATGGGGCACCTACGTGGCTAAATCAGTTAAGCATCCAACTCTTGATTTCAGCTCAGATCATGATCTCAGTGTCATGGGATTGAGCCCCATGTCTGACTTCATGCTGGCCTTGGAGCCGTTTGGGATTCTTTCTCTTCATCTGCCCCCCACCCCCAAAAGAGAAAGAAATAGAAAGAAATCATCCTAAAGTTCACATGGAATCTCTAGGAACTTCAAATAGACAAAATAATTTTGAAAAAGAAGAACAATGTTGGAGAACTCATACTATCTGATTTAAAACATATCACAAAGCTACAGTAATGAAAATAGTGTGGTACTGGTGAGAAGACAGACAAATGAATCAATAAAATAGAGAACCCAGAAATAACTACCAGGCTTTGGGCTATATGACCTTCAATAAGTGTGCCAACATTACTCAAGGGGAAAAGAGAATCTCTTCAACAAATAATGTGGGAAAGTAGATGTTTACATGAACAAGAATAAAGTTGGAATCTTATCTTACATTATATATAAAAATTAACTCAAAATGTATTAACAATGTAAATGTGAGACTCAAAATTACAAAAGTTCTAGACGAAAACACAGGAAAATGATGACATTGAACTTGGCAATGATTTCTTTTATATGATATTCTCCAAAAGCCAACAAAAGCACGGATAAACAAAGGGGACTGCATCAAACTTTAAATAACGAAGTGAAAAATCAACTACAGAATAGAAGAAAGTGTTTATAAATCATTTATCTGATAAGGGATTAATATCCAGAATATATAAAGAATTTCAATGACTCATCTACAACAACAACAACAACAAAATCAAAGAGCCTGATTAAAAAATGAGCAAAGGACTTGAATAGACATTTCTCTAACATGATATACAAAAGGCCAACAAGCATATAAAAAGATGATCAACATCACTAGTCAGCTGAACAAATGAAAACCATAATACTTGGTATGAAACTTCACACCAGTTAGTATAGTTATTACCACACATAAAAAAATACATTGACAAAGATGTGGAGAAATTGGAACCCTTGTATATCATTGGTGGGAATATAAAATGCTGCTATGGAAAATAATATAGAGTTTCCTTAAAATTTCATGGATTTTTAAAAATAAAACTACCACATTATATATTCATCCTATTTCTGGATATATATTCAAAAGAATGGAAAGCAAGATCTTAAAGAGATATGTGCATAATCATGCTCACAATAGCACTATTCACAATAGCCTAGATTTGGAAACAACCTATATAGCTATTGGCCGATGAATGGATAAAGAAATGTGGTACACTGACACCTGTCAGAATGGATAGTATCCAAAAGATAAGAAATAATGTGTTGATGAGGGTGTGGACAAAAATATCCTCATGTGCTACTGGTGTAAAAGAAAATTGGTGCAGCCACTGTGAAAAACATTATGGACGTCCTTCCAAAAATTAAAAATAAAAATACTTCATAATCCAGTAATCCTATTATATTTACCTAAAGAAAACAAAAGCAATAATTCAAAAAGATATATGCATCCCTACACATATAATAGCATTATTTACAATAGCCAAGATATGGAAGCAACCCAAGTAACCACGGATAGATGAATGGATAAAGAAGATGTGAAATATATATATATGTGTATATATATACATACATATAGCAATATATTATATATATTTATTTATATACATACATATGTGTATATATAGAGAAAGAGAGAGATAGTGGACTACTACTCAGCCATAGGAAAGAATGAGATCTTGCCATTTTCAACTACATGGATGGACCAGCAGGTGCTATGCTAAGTGAAATAAGTCAGACGGAGAAAGACCATTACCACATGATTTCACTCATGTGTGGAATTTCAGAAACAAAACAAGTAAAGAAACAAATAAATGAATAAATAAAAACACTCAAATACAGAGAACAAGCTGTAGTTGCCAGAGGGAAGGTGGGG